TCTTGTAATCAGTTAACCTGTTCCTCGAATTACAATAAAAGAAAATAAAAATAATTGTTAATGTCAATTGTATTCTTTGACGGCTATCCTTATCTGAAAACTATTAACGTTAACTACCACGGAGCAAACCGTTTTGGAGCCACCTGCCATATTGAATTCGATTTGTTTCGATAAATACACATACACGTTTTTATAATCGCAATCTCAAACGATGTTTGTGCGACCTTAGCATGTAAAATAAATTGAACAATCAATCAAACATGTTCCTATGTGCATCATTTTGGCACTCAAATTGTAGACACAAGGTCGATAGTTCAGGTCCGGACGTGTCTGAATTTATATTGTAAATAACAACATCGTGATAAACATAAGGCTGTCTATTGAAGGTAATGTTTCTTAAGAAAACATTTGTTTTCCTGGTAACTGCAACGACTGCTTGCTTACATAAGAGGAAATGAACAAATAAATTTAAAAATAGTAATGATCTTTTTTCTTTGCTCTTTCTTTTTTTATTAGAGTTGCACGAACGAGTCGAGCGAACTAACCCATAGACACAGCCCACTGAGTTTCTCGCCTGATCTTCTCAGTGGGTCGCGTTTCCGATCCGGTGGTAGATTCTGCGAAGCACTGCTCTTGCTAGGGTCAGTGTTAGCAACTCTCTGGTTGAGCCCCGCGAGCTCACCTACAAACGTTAGGGTAAAGCTGAAATAGCCTCTCAAGGCTATCAGCATAGGTAGGGAATAAAAAAAAAAAAACGAACGAGGTTGTGATCAATAGTGATTCAAAATTACAGTAGTACATAATAAGTACCAACATACAAATACCAGAGTGAACGTCTATGGTTTTTTTTTCTTTCAAATCGAATCAAGTTTTTTTAGGCCATTTATAAAGCATTTTTTTGCATAAATATCTGTTGGTTTATTTGTTTTTTTTTTAATCATGCATTGGCTCATTTTTACCCACTTTATTAAGTATCCACAGCCATAGAAGATATTAATATATTTGTCAATTTACACTTTCCTTTCAAAATAACTTTTTAGCTATCATTATCTTTATTATATTTCTAAATTAACGGCTATAACAACGTTAATTTAAAACGTTTCAATTGGGAAATATTTCGCCTAGTCGTTTAAGCCTTTTGAAACCAAATTTTAACATATTACATAAGACACACATATGAAACTTTGCGTCCTAGACCCAATTTACCCGTTAAACAGAGCTAATAAATTACACAAACTGATCTGAACAGAATTTGGTAACCTTTGCAAAAAAAAAGCCAATGGAGAAACTGCTTTTTGGCTAATTCTAATTTTATTACAAAAATATAAGGAAGCCAATCTGAATTTTGTAGCTCAATGTCATTGGCGCGTTTCGTAAATATTTGTTGAATTTAAAAAATAAAATTTGCTCCGACTAATTAGATTAAGTAAAATCGTTAGGAATAGGCGTCCATCCACCTAAGCAATAAAAAAAAATCCTTAATAAAAACTCTTTTTTTATTGCTTAGATGGTTGGGCTAGCTCACAGCCCACCTGGTGTTAAGTGGTTCTGGAGCCCATAGACATCTACAACGTAAATGGCGCCACTCACCTTGACATATGACTTCTAAGGTCCCAATATAGTTAACGGCTGCCATACTATTCAAACCGAAACGCATTACTTCTTCACGGCAGAAATAAGCTTTAAATGGCTCTCTGGCAAAAACGACTTTTAAAACAAATAGCCTTTTACCCCTAGTTATGTATTTTTTTGAGTTCAGGCGAATTACAATCAATATAATGTGTTACTAATTCAGAATAACTTTTACAATTCCGTCTCACGCTTTTGTTTCCAACGTTTCCAATCCTTTACAGTCGGCCGCCGACGACTAAGGTTTTATTTGGCGACGCTTACCTACATAGACAATTAGAAGGTAACTAACGCGATATTAGATTTTAAGTAATCTATTTTCAATTCGAAGTGTGTGTAATACTAAGTTAGAGGTAAATTTGATTACCGAACTTCTTATCTGTTCATTGAATCTTTGGGTCATCCGCATCATTGACTACTCATCAGTCCGGCACCAACGAGTTTAACACTGACGGTTTTTTTAGTAATTATTATTGAGATGAGTGAATGAGCTTGCGATCTTGGTGGAAAGAGGCTACTAGAAGGCCACAGACATTAAAACCTCGTATTCCACGACCCACATTAAGACATGAAGCATCAATTGTCTCAAGAGTATCTACCTTCAAACTAATAAGAAATAGGCAAGATCTTACACCTACCTGTGTCGACTTATAGTCTGCATCGAACGGTGAGAGCCAGTTGGCGATCAAAGTACGCTGAGAAATGGAATCCTGCTTTATACACTGACAACATACATCGGAAAACGATAATAATCGAAATTCTAATATAAATCAATGATTATAATTTAAATTCATTTCAAATAATACATTTTCTCGTTTGATTTCTTGTTGACATTTTAAAAAACACATTAACTGTTTCCAAAAAGTTTTTATTGCACTAAAGGTCGTCATTAGCTACAAAATAAAAAAGGAGATCGGTTGATTAATAGAGGAGAAAATGGCACATGTTTTTTCTTTTTTTTTTTCGTTGTCTATTTACATATATGTAGGTATTATACATATAAAGAGATAAAAGAAATTACAATTTAAAAGTCTGACTGAGTCACAGTCTGTCAATGAAGACAAGTGTCAACCATTATCCATGAAAAACGATTGTACATATTAAACGCGTGATTAATATTATAATTGCTTAATCTATTTAAATGAATTCAGACTGAGGCGATATATTAATTACCATATTTAAAGGCATACAGGAGTTTTTATGTAGTTCCTGAAATAAATTCGCAAAATGACGATTTAAGTAGGCAATTGAAACAAAACCTGAATGTTCATTGTATTGAAAGTACGAACAATGATAATCATAGTCATTGTATTTCCTACATCGCGGTCGAGCCTTCCAATCTCCCGTGACATGTTGGCAGCATTGACACGATTAAGTTTGCATTGCGGTGTTGCTCAAATTATTTCAAAATTGATTTGTGTGGTTATAGCACGTGAAGTAAATCATGAAAAATTTTCGCTTCACACTTTTTCCTTGCATTCACAACAAGGCAAGTTACAAAATAGGCTATTTTTATTGTTTAAATGCCTGAACGAACTAACGGCACATCTGGCACTAAGTAGTTACCGGAACCTATAAACATCACGACGTCGATGCTGAAACTTTGAGACTTGAGGTCTGTCTCAATTGTTTAAGGGCAAAATGTATTCTTTGCGGTTTTGGTATTGTTATTTAGATGATGTTCCTCATCATAGAAGTCAGTCATGAACATGAACTACGTAGATACGTATTTCATTGGAAAAATGAGTACCACTTCGGGATTCGAACTGGCCAACTTATCTGTTATGCGGGATTTACATTACGAAATTAGTGTCATGCATGTTGAGCTCAGTTTCACGAAAGTAGTTTCGATATATGCGAAAGTAATTTCGTTAAAAAAGTAGTGTCGCGAAATCCACAGTATCGCAGTAACCATGGCGCCTTCAACATCAAAGCTATAATTTGCTATATTCAATGTAGCTAAAGAAATGCTTATATACCTATAAACTTAAAAAAAGACTATCAAGAAAAAAAAGATTCGAGGATGGTCAACAAGAAGGCATTTAGGTGCAATGAAGTTAGTCTCTGAATTAGCAGATGAAGATCCTGAGAGTTATAAAAACTATTTTCGAATGAGTGAAAATAATTTTGATTTTTTACTGTAGGTGTTTCGGGTCCCAAATTTTGAGGAAAACTTGTAATAATACATTATTTTATATTTTTGTTGATCATTTTACGGGAGAATTATAAATTCTATTTTTATCGAGATTATTTTCATTATTTTTCAATGTGACATTTTATTTACTAGTTTTAGCCTCCAGGTCGTCCAAAATATTTCAAACTCATCTTTATAATAAAAACCAAAAATAGACACGCTTCATTAAAATTTGCATTTTAATTAACGGACGATTGAGTGTTACTCAATGATTGAGGATTGTATACATTATAATTTGTAAATTAAAATATGACCAACGACTTTATGATGTAAATTTTCATTTAATTAGTTTTTTCTTTGGCTTACGCCATCCGTAGATATAATTAAAACTATTTTTACATTTTAATTTCACGTTTATGATTTTCGTTTTAATTTTTGCCGACGTTTTAGAACTTAGTCGGAAAATCAGAAATTCTCAAAGTTTTTATAATAAAAATTGATGATAATATTAATAGACCTGGCATTTAATTGTAAAAATTGCTTTTACACATTTTCAAGTGTCTGCATTTATATTGAACAAAAAAAACAGACTTAATATGAGAATTTTATATGCTTTAAGTTTTCTTGAGGGCTAAAATAACCTAACAAATCAAACCTTTATTATTAAATGCTTAGAATAATTACTTAACATTGTACTAAATACGGTGACATAGACTGTATTCAATAATATTTCAAGGAAAAAACGGAAAATTCCATTCAAAGTTATTGACATAAATAAATATTTATTTTTAACAAAGACATACAAGTTACGGTTATTTGGTATGGATAATTTCTTTAATGTTTTTTTTCTGTTCGGTTTTGTTTCGTTGTCTTCATGTGAAAAAAACTCTGACAAAACTTAAGTGATCTTATGTTCTGTAGTGGACAACTATCGGTCAAATTATGGTGACGACATTATTACGAGACGATTTCAACAGTGTATATTATAATACCATCCGGCTATGGAATGAGCTCCCCTCCACGGTGTTTCCCGAGCGCTATGACATGTCCTTCTTCAAACGAGGCCTGTGGAGACTATTAAACGGTAGGCAGCGGCTTGGCTCTGCCCCTGGCATTGCTGACGTCCATGAGCGACGGTAACCACTCACCATCAGGTGGGCCGTATGCTCGTCTGCCTATACGGCAATAAAAAAAATTATAATCTTATAATACCCTAATTCTAATTTGACATTTCCAGGAGCAGAGATGCAAAAATCCACCGACGGCTCCACAGAAGATCGAACGTGTTATAACCCTTTGCCAAGATGAAATCAAACTGTCAATACTCAGAGGTGAGGCTTCGTGGTACGGGCAACCTAATTAAATACGAGCATCTGTGATTAACAACTTTCCAATCAGAACGCGTTTTTGTTTCAACAACACGGTTCGTACATGTTTTTTGATAATTCAGATGTGGTCCGTGGCTTCCCCTTCGTTGCATTGTACATAATACGGTAATAACATTTTACGTTGTATTTTAATTGTTCCATAGAAAAATAAGAACCAAGTTGCAACATTGTAAGTTAAAAGTGATGCTTACAAAAAATTTATACTACAAAAAATCCTTTTCATTTAACAGCCCTGCCTTAGTGCTAGTTTCGTTATTCAATTGTCACTTCCACAATTTTGGTTACCAAAAAAAATATTTCATATTGAGCGTGTTTTTTTTTTGTTTATTACTTAGATGGGTCAACGAGCTCACGGACCACCTGGTATTAAGTGGTTACCGGAGCCTATAGACAACAACAACGTAAAAGCCGCCACTCACCTTGAGACAAGAGGTGTAAGGTACGGTCAGGTGTAACAGTACAAGGGCTGCCCCACCCTTCAAACATTAACGCATTACTGCTTCACGGCAGAAATAGGCAGTGCGGTGGTACCTACCCGTGCGGACTCACGTCCGTCACAAGACGTCCTACCACCAGTAAGCGCATCATGAATTAAAAGCCTAAACATTATGGGAACTTTTTATCTCGTAAAATAAATAGCGTGCATCGATACCGCATTCTTCAATAAGTCTAATAAATAGTTAAATCGGAAACATGGGAATTAAGAGTCACGTATTGACTCTCAGTTTCCTATGAACCTTCGTGTAAATCGAACGAGGGTCACGCGCAGTCAAGGTCGGCCTATACAAGTGAAAGTACGCGTCCAACTACTGTGTTACGTATCAAAAACTAATATGTATTCGTATCGGCGCGCTCCAGCTGGCCAAAAAGTTACGGCACAGAGAGATTGAGCCAATATCCTGTGCCAACTATACAATCTATCTATCTACATAATATATAAAAATGAATTGCTGTTCGTTAGTCTCGCTAAAACTCGAGAACGGCTGGACCGATTTGGTTAATTTTGATCTTGAATTATTTGTGTTAGTCCAGAGAAGGTTTAAAAGGTTAGATAAAAATGAAAATGCTCGGAATTAAATAGAAATAACAATTTTCTTTATCCTTTGATGTGTCCTCCCTCGGACGGATTCCTTTTGTTTGTTTTAAGTTTATTTTATACAAAAGCTTAGGTCTTTTATTTATCGATTGAGGCACTACGAAGTCTGCCTGGTCAGCTAGTATACTTATAGTATTACAAAGGCAGCAAATGATAAGTCGGTAGCTTACTGCTGATATGGCGTATTGTGACCTTAATGTTACCACAATATCGTTTAACTAAGCCATGAAGTACTGTGTATCGTTTGAAGTATAGAATGGCCTGGTCGAAATGAAGATTACTAAGCAACACAAAACATGTAATTAAACTACTTAACAAACTATATGTGAAATTACATGAATTTCATACGTAAATTATGTACTCAGATTGTAATCATCATTGGACATTCAAGTCTTGAATTGTCGAGTTTCCCTTTTGCTCTCCATAAGAGTTCGTATTAAGATATAAGTTTTGTGAAAGTAAAAGTTACATAGATTTATTAATTTTTTCTACCTACATTTGCTAATGGCTTAAAGAAACACTGATAAGATAATTTGAATGCAGTCACGTACTTTGACACATTAAATTGAGTTCACAATTAGTTTGTCTAACAATTATCTTACTTAAACGAGAGCGTAGGATTGCTTCGTGATTCTGGGTGTATATGCAATGACGAGACAAATCGTTGCAAGTTATTATTATTTATTAATACTTTATATCAGTTTTTTTTTAAAACCATAACATTTTGTTAGTAGTAATTACTTATAATCTATGTTAGTAACATAAAAAATCTAACACATAACTATCATTATATACATTTTATACCATTACATTATTTATTATTATTATTTTTTTCTCCTTCCAAGTGCCTACTGCAAAGGCTATTGATCAGCAGTTCCTCGATCTTGCTCGATATGATTCTCAAAAGACTCTAGTAAAATATTATTTTTAATTGATTATTTGGGTGGACGAGCTCTCAGTCCTGGTTTTAAGTGGCTTCACCTTGAGACATAAGTTGTAAGTCCCAGATTTATACTACAACGGCTGCCCCATACTTCAAATAAAACGAGTTTGTTGTACCTACCCGTGCTGGCTCACAAGCAGTAATTACGGAAATTAAAATTTTTGTAGTTTTAATTTCTTTACACGGTGTTATTATTTCATCGTGGAAGTCAAACGTGTGAATATTTGTAAAATACGTATCGCTATAGTAACCGGCAAACATCTTGAGCAAATGACCTTGACTGCGCAGAACCGAATTTTAGATCACTTTGGTGGTGAGGGTGAGGCGCGACGGCAGGGGAAATCGTATCGAGCGCGTTATTGGTAGATCAGTCGAACCCTGCGCCCCGCACCGCGCCCTCGTTCCGCTCGCTCCCAAAGTACGCTTGCGTACAGTGAAAAATCTATCGTTATTAATCGTAAGTTATTTGTTATAATTGCTTGTTGACTTTGTTGCCATTGCTATTTGTTGAGTGTTTGTTGATTTTTTATAAAAAATACACTATGCCGCGACAAACTGGTGTAGTAATCAAAAGAAAGGGTAGAAAAATTGTGTACGACGTATATTGCTTCATTATAAAACAGGGGAAGAATGATATGGAAAAAGTAAAACAGACTTNTTGTTGCCATTGCTATTTGTTGAGTGTTTGTTGATTTTTTATAAAAAATACACTATGCCGCGACAAACTGGTGTAGTAATCAAAAGAAAGGGTAGAAAAATTGTGTACGACGTATATTGCTTCATTATAAAACAGGGGAAGAATGATATGGAAAAAGTAAAACAGACTTCGGAAGCAACAAAAACATCAGTGAGTACTGTTAGGTGCACTATTAACGAAGCTAAAGGCTCTGGCTTGCTCGCCGTGTTTGGGACTCCGGGTAAGAAAAGATCAGGGAAGAAGAAAGTTACCGGAATGGATAATTTCGTTCAATCTGTAATAAAAAGATGTAATCATAACAACTACATAACAAGCAGCGAAACTCCGTACCGTAGAAAGGCTTCGAAAAATTTAAAGAAGATATACATTTTAATGGCTCGGAATGAAGTTTACGACGAATTACGAAAGAGCTAGGCTTCAGATGAAAAAAAAAAACAGAAAATAATCGGAAGCTGGTAATTGAAAAAAGCAACATTCGATTACTACGAATCGAATATCTTAAAAAAATAATTAATTAGACAAAAAAGAAGATCGAACGACCGAGTTGTAAACTACACCAATGAGCCCTATGTCAACTCATCACGATGATGGCGACTCGGGTGATGAAAACAGTGATGATGATGATGGTCAAGATTATGATAACGAAAAAAAAATTACAAATACCAGCTTCGCTTCAACTGAACCAAGACCTGGCAACAGCTCTAGTTTTGACTTAATAGAAGGAATATCTATTTTACCCCAAGATTCAATTATTACAATTATTAACCTATATTTTTTGATGATGTTCTAATAAATATATAAATAAATACATAATAATATGTTGATTTTAATAATTTAATTGCATTATGACGCAGAGTAAATAATGTTTTTGCACGTGAGTGTACCATGCGCAAACTTACCCCCACTACGTCAACAAATGCTCAAGAAGTTTGCCGACTATTATACCTGTCTGCGGGATTGGAATACTGACACAGCTGCGTCCCTCGATACGATTACACCGGCCGTCTTATCCTTTAGGCCACGACTTCACGCCACAGTCAAATGTTACAAAGAAGTAAAGATATCGAAATTAAGGTACACGCACACAAACATATTTGGGAAACTGTAAGATTTTATTGACTATTTTCTCTGGTTTTCGTAAACATTTCGACTCTTTATACTGCTCGGGGTGACGGATGACAAAAAAACGCGAAATTAAGCCTTAAAAGTACTTTTAATTAGGCTTCACAGAATTCAAAGATAAGGAAAAAGAATTCATTCCATATCGGGCCACTCTTACCGGGTATTTTGACACCAGCGTATATTTTTTAGAGAAAATTACCTTCGCTGATAATAAGACGTCTCTGCATAGAAGAAGAGGAAAATATACATCATACACTTTGCAAGGGTATAAAAAGAATAATAATGGAAAATTTAGGCATTTGATATCCGGACAGAGATGACTCTAGACTAATATTTTCGAACAAGATTCATGCGAGCACATGTTTGTAGCTTGAAAGTAAAGATTAAGGGAATGATACAAAATATCCTCAACGATTGAGGTTTCGGATAAATAACTAGTCAGGTCATAAGTATTGTCACACAGTAAAAACTTTTCTTTTAGAATGCTAGCCACAAAAAAGGTTATTGAATTCGAATTTCGAATTGTTCATGAAAATAAAAATGTATACTTTTAGAATTTTACTCATTTTTAAATATGGAGTGGACGCTTAAAGAAGACCGTGTTGCAGTTATTGCGTTGCGTCGTTGCGGTTACGCGCCAATTCAAATTTTTAACATACTGAAAAATTTTAATATAACCAAAATATTCGTTTATCGTACCATCAAACGATACAATGAAGACTCTAGTGTAGATGACAGGTCAAGAAGTGGTCGCCCTCGGTCTGTTAGGACTCCAGCAGTGATAAAAGCTGTGAAGGCGCGAATTCAAAGAAATCCCAAACGTAAGCAGAAACTGTTGGCCCTTCAGATGGGGTTAAGCAGAACCACGGTGAAAAGGGTGTTAAATGAAGACTTAGGGCTTCGGGCATATCGAAGAAAAACAGGACATCGTTTGAATGCTCGTCTAATGGACCTGAGACTGAAGAGATGCCGCGCTTTGTTGAAGCGGTACGCGGGAAAAAAATATCGGGAAATTCTTTTTTCGGATGAAAAAATTTTTACCGTAGAAGAGAGCTACAACAAACAAAATGATAAGGTGTACGCAC